TAAGACTCTTTTTTTCAGCCCATTCTCCCCTCTACAGCCCCTGACCACCACTGCTGCCCCCTCTTAGCCCCATGGCCCCTCTACAGCCCCTACCCTTCCTTCTATAGCCCCTGTTCCCCTCTCTACAGCCCCTGTGCCCCCTTTTTCCCATAATTTTTTGGCTTACCACCATCCTCTCCAGAAAAAGAATCTTAGTGTTTCTATTCTACTGCAAATGTTTTCCTCATATAAAAACTGGTGGGGCACTGCCCAGAATGCCTTCATGGATGATCCTCCACTGATTGCTGTTGTGACCCTTGGTGGTGACCCCTGGCAATGCTCTGATACAGTAGAAGTGGAGAGTTTGGTCTGTACCAACAGCAAGTGCAGATTAAATTCTCTCTCATAACCCCCACCTCTCAACATTAGGGTGTCCATGGAGCCCTTCTTTTGACTAGTGCCAGCACTTATTGCTTGTGCTTGCGTAATGCCAGTACTCCAGAGGCTCTGTTGGCCTTGGCAAGTGCATTAGTGTATGCCTGGGCACACCCCATGTGCACACCTAAGTTTACACTAATACTGGGCCTAATTTATGTAAGAGCAACATAATTTAGTTACCTTTACTATTAGCAGTCCTACTAATAATATATTGTTGCAAAAATCTTTGGACTTATTCATTAGCCTTCTGTTAGGTCCCCATCTACTGGGAATTTGTAATATACTTAGATTGAGGTATTCCAAGACTTCTATGTACAAACATATATTCTTACAATGTTGGCTACAATGGTTTTAGCATTCCTTTTATTTAAGAGGATGCAGGAATAATGTGTTTATGATTTTATCATAGTTCTGCCCTTTGAAGTGGCCTGGGTGCCAACTCCCACTACTCTTAACCCTGCAACTGTGATTATTGCAGTTTTTTATAAACTGCAATAATTACCTTGTAGGGTTAACTCCTCCTCTAGTGGCTGTCTACTAGACAGCCACTAGAGGGCACTTCCTGGATGTGTGGACCTCCAGCGTCGCTCATTTCCCCATAGGAAAGCATTGAAATGCATTTTCAATGCTTTCCTATGGGGAGCGCTAATGCGCATTACCGCACATGCACATTAGGTCTACCCGGCCGGTGGGGGCGGGATCAGTCTCGCCCACCGGCCGACGCAATCACTAGGAGGTATTCACCCCTTCAGCAACCGGGGATTTGGGGGTGGGAGGGAGAGGGGACCTGCAGTTACAGGAAAATGGATTGTTTTCCTGGCACTGGAGTTTCCCTTTCACCCCTTCAGGACCGCTGATGGTTCAGGACTGTCAGCGGTAAAACGTGCGTTTGGACCGCTGACGGTCCTGAACCGTCATAGCGAAAAACGGGCTGCGGGAAGCGATCAAAGATTGCTCCCGCCAGTATAACAGTATCTAAAGTGAATAAAAAATCCTTTTTAACCCCTTCCCTGCCAGATCTGTTACAGCAGTGCATTTGTACTGTCTGTATTTTTTTGCCCTTAAAGGGTTAAATTTGTTTAAAAAAATCTGTGTCTTGGTCTGTCTTAGTCAGTCAGTTTCCTTCCCCCAAATCTCCATTAGATTTTTGTGACAGGAGTTAGCTTAGGGATTGCTGTTTAGTCTGTTTTAGTAAAAAAACAAAAAAAAAAAAGTATAAATTTTTTTTGAGTGTTTGTAATGTTTTAGTCGTGTGTAAAACATGCAGTGTATATATAACTTGCATGAGGCATATGTCTTCTTGGCGTCAGACTCTGACGCCACTGACACTGCGTCAGATTTTGACCCAGGTCAGTTTTCTGACACGTCAAGATGACATCTGTGTGTGAGCCGGCTGAAGAAAGAAGCTGTGCTTCATCTGCTATGCCGAATGTGGAGGAGGACTGGGTACCTCCACAGTTAGCCGAGCCCAACGTCCCCCCTTTTAGTGCCAATGCACGGATTAATGTAAATGTGGATGGCTTCTCCCCAATGCAGTGTGTAGAAATCATTTTAGGGGATACTATCTGGGAGGAGATTTCTTCTCAGACTAACTTGTATGCTACCCAATTTGTTGATAATCCAGGTAGCTATACAGTCAGGGAGCATGACTGGCATCCCACAGATGTCCCAGAGCTTTAAAAATTCTGGGCTCTTAGAATGCTCATGGGGATTAAAAAGAAGCCATAGATTCGCTCATACTGGAGTACCAACCCAATAATGTCTCCCAAACCATGCCTAGAGCCAGATAAGTTACTGCTGAGATTTTTACATTTCAGTGACAATACCCTCTGTCACCCTAGAGATCACCCCAATACGATAGGCTTTATAAAATACGCCCACTGCTAGACCATTTTCAGGACAAATTTTTGGATTTTTGGATGTTTATACCCCCCAACAAAATGTATCCATAGATGAATCTCTAATGAAATACAAAGTGAGATTAGGGTTCAGACAATACATCCCCTCAAAGCGCTCTAGGTATGGCATAAAACTGTACAAACTGTGCGAGAGCGAAAGTGGATACACGTTTGCCTTTCGTGTATATGAGGGGAAAGATGGTCAACTGGACCCTCCTTGCTGTCCTGACTCCCTGGGGAGAAGTGGGAAACTTGTATGGGACCTACTGAACCCCTTGTTTTATAAAGATTACCACCTTTATGTGGATAATTTTTATAGTAGTGTCCGTCTGTTTAAAACACTTTATGGTTTACAGACACCGGCCTGCGGCACTGCCAGAAAAAATTTCAAAGACATTCCACGATCTCTCATAGAGGCAAAATTAAAAAAAGGCGAATGTAAAGCACTTCGCAAAGCTGAAGTGCTTGCACTAAAATTTAGGGACAGGAAGGATGTCAACATGCTAACCACCATCCATGACGAACGCATGTCAGACGTCTCTGTCCGGGGCAGAGTAGAGTCCAAACCGGTTTGCATCAGGGCCTATAATAAGTACATGGGGGGTGTTTATTTGGCTGATCAGCTGATGCAGCCATAACTTATTTTATGAAAAACCAAAGCATGGTATAAAAAGGTGGCTATCGATATGATGCAAATAGCAACCCACAACTCATTTTTGCTTTTTAAAAAAAATAATCCAGGGAAAACCACCTTTCTCCAATTTCAGTTGAAAATTATTTCTTTAACAATTTATGGAGATGGACAAGTTCCAACAACAGTGCAAGCTGAGTCCAGACATTTTATTTTTAAGTTACCGCCAACTGCTAGAAAACAAACAAACCCAGAAACGTTGCCGGGTCTGTTTTAAAAATGGGAAAAGGACAGACACCCCTTTTCACTGTCCTGATTGCCCTTCGAAACCAGGACTGTGTGTAGGAACATGTTTCAAGCTGTACCACACAGAACAGTTGTAAGAAGTGTAGCAGAGCAGCAATATTAAATCCCACGATCTCCGCTGGTAAAGAAGGTAATCCACAGTCAAGCGCTGAAAAGTAAGGCAATATCCCAAATCCCCCAGTAACCGGACGAAACACAGTTCTGGGTGTCAACTGAGGTTTTTATTCACAGCTCCAGTATTTATGCAAGTCCCCATGCAAGGGGTTTCCCTACTGACATAGTAGGGGTAACACAGTAGGGGACTCCATGGGGGACTTAACATTCTGGGCATTTCTCCCATCAGGCACTGCTGGACGAGAGGGATACTTCCACTGGAATACACCGTTAAGTGGATTATCCCTCTGTGCAGCAAAACCGGCATTTCACATTTAAATACATAACTTTTACACTGTTCGGTTTATTTAAACAAATGGACGTTCGGTAGATAGCTGGGGTCTGAGCGCACATTTCGTGGGAATACCGCTCAGATCCCAGCTTAAACAACCGAACGCCACGCGAAATTTGCTATCGAGTTTGCCTAAACGTACCGAACACCGATGGGGAACCACAATAACGAAAGACTGGAGCTCCCGAACAGCCTGGAAGTCCAGCGGTGTTCACGCCGTCGAGTAGCCGTTTTCAGTTCCACGCGCTCGACGACCAAACACCACTGGTGAGACAAAGGATCCAAGATGGCCGACCGCCGCGTGGTCGGTAGCATAACGACGGCCACCTAGGAAAGTCTCTAAATACTGATTGCAACATTGTTGCAATCGGTTAATGAGCGCCACACGTCCCTCTATGTGTGGGCTATTAGGGGGTAGCTCATTCGGTTCACGAAGAGCCAGTAAAGTCGCTGTTCATGAAACGAAACACATGAATGCTAGCGGCTTTCGGCTGCTAGCATACAAATTCCATGCACATAACATTATCAACCAAGGTTATACATATAGTACAGTGGTTATTACAGACAACCTTTTTATATATATAGTCCAGCATGCTACAAGTGGCGATGTTTGCCACAAGAAGTGTTCCTGAATTTTTATTTTATTTTTTGTTTCTCTGGAAAGCAGCCATTTTTTGTTAGTCAGTTTCCTTCCCCCAAATCTCCTGTTAGATTCTATTTGCAGGAGTCAGTTTAAAGATTGCTGCTAAATGTACATTTGCTACCTGCACATTTGGTCTAACAAGTTTTCTGGCAGTAACACATAACCAGCTGGCCAAAACCAGATGACGTGCATAAAAACCAGAATTAAAAAATGACCATTACACTTTCTTTGGGGGGGCAAAATGGTTGGGGGAAAGAAGTCAAAACACCCCATCTTCTATAACCTTTGATGTCTACTTTATAAAAATATATACTATATATACTGTCATGATAGTAACATTAACTGGGGGGTGCAAAAATACGTCAAAGTGAAGCTAGACCAAGCATACCTATATATTAAGTTGAAAACTGACATGTACAAGTTGCCTTTTGGCCCCCAAACAACCCAGCAACCCTATACATGGGGGAATCACTGAACTCGGGAGATGTTGCTGAACATATTGGGCAGTGTTTGGCAGTGACACATAACAGGATCTATTAATTCATGCCTAAAGTACAATGTGTGTGACAAAGAAACAAAAAAAGATTACTACCCAAAAGTTTGACAAAGGCTGGTGGTAGTATTCAGTGCATGAAAAGTGTTAAAATACCACTATTTAAAATACCCTAGGTTGTCTACTTTTCAAAAATATATGGTTTGATGGAGTAAAATACATTGGCTCAAATGGGACATGGGCGCAGGTTGATTACATGTCAAAATTGCAAGTTGGGAAACTGATAAGTGCACCTGCCAAACCTTTTAGCCCCCAAAGAACCCGACAAGCCTATGCATGGGTGGTATCACTGTATTCAGGAGATCTTGCTGAACACATATTGGGGTGTTGTTTGGCAGTGATACATAACAGGATCTGTTAATTCATGCCTAAATTACAATGTGTGTGAAAAAAAAACAGAAAAAAAAATTACTAACTCAATGTTTGACAAAGCCTGGTGGTAGAATTAGTGCATGGAAAGTGTTAAAATACCACCATGTGAAATACTCTAGGGTGTCTACTTTTAAAAAATATATGGTTTGATGGGGGTAAAATACATTGGCCGGCTTCAAAAATGTCCCAAATAGGACATGCATGCAGGTTGACTACATGTCAAAATTCCAAGCTGGAAAACTGATATGCGCACCTGCAAAATGTGGCCTTTTAGCCCCCAAACAACCCAACACACCTATACATGGGGGATATCCCTGTACTCGTGAGATGTTGCTGAACATATATTGGAGTGGTGTTTGGCAGTGACACATAACATGATCTGTTAATTCATGCCTAAAGTACAATGTGTGTAAAAAAAAAACAGAAAAAGATTTAATAACTCAATGTTTGACAAAGCCTGGTGGTAGAATTAGTGCATGGAAAGTGTTAAAATACCACCATGTGAAATACCCTAGGGTGTCTACTTTTCAAAAATATATGGTTTGATGGGGGTAAAATACATTGGCCGGCTTCAAAAATGTCCCAAATACGACATGCATGCAGGTTGACTACATGTCAAAATTCCAAGCTGGGAAACTGATATGCGCACCTGCCAAATGTGGCCTTTTAGCCCCCCCAACAACCCGACACACCTATACATGGGGGGTATCCCTGTACTCGAGAGATGTTGCTGAACACTTATTGGGGTGTTGTTTGGTAGTGACACCTAACAGAATCTGTGAATTTATACCTGATTGGCAATATATGTGAAAAAAATTTAAAAAATAAACTACCTACCGTGTTTCTCCGAAAATAAGACCGGGTCTTATATTAATTTTAGTCCCAAAAAACACACTAGGGCTTATTTTCAGGGTAGGGCTTATTTATTTATGGTACCGGTATGTACATTGAACCCCCCCTTTAATTAATCCACCCCCCTCTAATTAATCCACCCCCTCTAATTAATCCAGCCCACCCTTTAATTAATTCACCCCCTCTAATTAATCCACCCCCCCAATAAATCCACCCCCCCAATAAATCCAGCCCCCTCTAATTAATCCACCCTCCTTTAATTAATCCACCCCTCCTTTAATTAATCCACCCCTCCTTTAATTAATCCACCCCCCTCTAATTAATCCACCCCCCTCTAATTAATCCACCCACTCTAATAAATCCACCCCTCCTTTAATAAATCCACCCCCTCTAATAAATCCACCCCCCGTTTAATTAATCCAACCCCCCTTTAATAAATCCACCCCCCTCTAATTAATCCAGCCCCCCCTTTAATTAATCCCACCCCCCTCACAGTGAAAATCCCACCCCCCTCTAATTAATCCACCCCTCCTTTAATTAATCCCACCCCTCCTTTAGTAATCCACCCCTCCTTTAATTAATCCACCCCCTAATAAATCCACCCCTCTAATAAATCCACCCCCCGTTTAATTAATCCAGCCCCTTTAATAAATCCACCCCCCTCTAATTAATCCAGCCCCCCCTTTAATTAATTCACCGCCTCCTTTAATTCATCGCCCCCTTTAATTAATTCAGTCCCAGACATAAAATATCTACTCACATTTCAAAGATGCCTTCCTTGCCCGCCGAGTCCGACCACTGGGTGCCTCACCGCCCGGAAATGGATCCTTCCGCTGAAGATCCGTGAAGGCAGACTGACGACGCTGCGCACGTCATCACGTTGCGCGATGCCGCGGCCTGCAACGCTCCTCCTCCTCCTCATAGAAGAAGGAAGTCCCGCCGGGCCGAAAGGTACAATGCCTAGGTCTTATTTTCGGGGTAGAGCTTATATTGCAGCCCACCCCGAAAATTCAGCTAGGGCTTATTTTCGGGGTAGGGTGTATTTTCGGGGAAACACGGTATGCAAAGTTTGGCAAAGGTTTGTGGTAAAATGGCTGCATAGAAAGTATCAAAATATTCTTAGATGAATACCCTGGGTTATCTAGTTTAAGAAAAATATATACATGTGCAGTGTTTTTTGGAGATTTATGACATAACAGTGTTACAATGTCACTATTGATACATTTGAAAAATGTACATTTTGAAACAGCAACTTCCTACTTGTACTTATAGCCCCATAACTTTCAAATAAAAGCAAAAAAATCACGTAAACATTGGGTGTTTTTAAACTCAGGACAACATTTTGAATCTATTTAGCAGTTTCATTCGATTTTGTAGATCAGTAAAAGATTTTTTAAGTAAAAGTCAAAAAAAGTGTTTTTTTTTTAATTTTTCACCATATTTTATAATTATTTTTTTATTAAATTATATGACATGATAAAAATAATAGTATGTAAAGAAATCCCTTTTTGTCCTGAAAAAAACAGTATATAATTTGTATTGGAACAGTAAATGAGAGAGCGGAAAATTACAGCTAAACACCACAAAAGTGTTAAAATAGCTCTGGTCCTTAACGCACAAACATCGCAAAAACAGTCCGGTCCTGAATGGGTTAATAAAATGTATGTTTTGATTTGTTAGTGCTGCCCACTTTTGTGTGTGCTTTTATTTTTTATTTACTTGTAGTTAATTATTAGTAACCCTCTAATATGACACCGACAAAGTCCCCTTATAACCAAATTTAGTTATTTTTTTAATGTGACATTGATAGTTTCTCTTTGTAATGGTACATGTAAGTGAAAAAAATAAACAAAACTTCATGGAGTTGTCCATTGCGTTGTGGCTCACCCATACAAAATATTTAGGAAAATGATTTGGATGAACTAACAATGCGCAAACCATATATAAATAAGTAGTATAAGTAGTCAAACCATTTAAGAATGGTTTTACTTCCTACCCGGGGTTTGCTAGGTGCCCTTTATGCCTCCAATGTAGACTGCAAGAGACCTGGAAGTTTTCTGTCAGAGCTAATCTAAGCGGTGCATTATCGAACAATGAGCTAGCTCTTCACTGCAGGGTTTAGCTCCTGGTAGCTGTGAAGAGGAGGGGAGGAGGGTAATGGTTTGAGTACTTACAATGTGGGTTTGCCAAGTCACTACTGACACCATAACTACAGTCAGGTCCATAAATATTGGGACATTGACACAATTCTAATCTTTTTGGCTCTATACACCAACACAATGGGTTTGAAATGAAACAAACAAGATGCGCTTTAACTGCAGACATTCAGCTTTAACCAGTGTTTGTGACTAAGTGGCTACTAAAAAAGACTGGACATACCCTGTTTGCAATACCTTGGGTTGTCTACTATTGCAAATGGTATGCCATCATAGGGGTAATTTTCATTCTTGGGCTACCATAGGGTCTCAAAGGCAACGTAACCAATCTGGCGAATTTTAATGTGAAAAAAATGAACACAAGCCTTATATTTGACGCTGTAACTTTTGAAAACACCATAAAACCTGTACATGAGGGGTACTGTTGTACTCGGGAGACTTCGCTGAACACAAATATTTGTGTTTCAAAACAGTAAAAAGTATTGCAGCAATAATATCATCCGTGTAAGTGCTGTTTGTGCGTGAAAAATGCAAAAAACTTCACTTTTACTGGCGATATCATTGTTGTAATACATTTTACTGTTTTGAAACACTAATATTTGTGTTCAGCGAAGTCTCCCGAGTAAAACAGTACCCCCAATTTACAGGTTTTATGGTGTTTTGGAAAGTTATAGGGTTAAATATAGTGATAGCAAATTAAATTCCCTATACTTTCGGCATGGGTTGTCAGGCAGGTCCCGCTAATTGTAATTAATTAGGATACCTAATTATGTAAAAATATTACATAAATATATGTGTAGAATAATATATGTATATATATATACACATGTGTATATATACATATATATATAATTTTTTTAAATAGTTTTATTTATATATAGGTGTATATATATATAGTGATATATACGTATATATTTATGTATATAGATATATATATTATTTCGTTCTACGTGTATTTTGATATAAATATATATATATTAATATCACAATACAGTTAGAACGAAACAACAAACATCTATATATTTTTTTATTATTTATTTTTAATTATTTTTTTAATTTTATTTTTTTTACGTATTTACATTTTTTTATATTATATATAAATATATATATATAACAATAATTATATATATATATATTTAATCAGTATTAGTCTACGTGTAATTTGATAGTATATATATATAAATAATTATATATATTAATATTTAAATACACTTCGTGTATGTGTAAGTGTGTGTGTGTGTGTGTGTGTGTGTGTATATATATATATATATATATATATATATATATATATATATATATATATATATATATATATATACTTAGATCATATATATATATATATATAATCTATATGATCTAAGTATATTTTATTTGTAACTGTAATTTTTTTTTTTAAACTAATATTTTATTTTTATTACAGGACAGGTGGCAGAGACAGTGTCAGCCAGTGATTTTACATCACTGGCTGACACACAGGATCAGTGATCACAGTGACTGCCTGTCACTGTGATCACCTCCTGCAGATTGGGTAATTGGCCACAGGGGGGAGTGCCTGGGTGGTACAAGAACTCCCCCCTTCCAATCTGCAGGGGGATCTTTGTGCCTGTTACATGTGTCAGCCAATAGGCTGACACATGTAACACTGATCGCAGTGACAGGCTGTCACTGCGATCAGAGCGCTCTGAGATCGCAGTGACAGCCTGTCACTGCGATCTCAGAGTTAGCAG